TTAAAGTACTCTATACAATGGGTTTGGAAGCACAGTATGACACAAATCTTGATAAAGTTTTTTTAACAGACTACAGGTAGCTTATCGAAAAACGGACACAAAAAATCGCACGTAGGCCACAACTTTCTTCATTCTTCGTCTAGTATTGCACCTCTCATCACATGAGAGCTCACAACAAACTCAGGCAGCAGTCTACCTACTCTTGTTGGACACACTTTTAGTAAAAAAAGATCTCCTTTCTCACCGTAAGAAAAAAACAACCGTTTACTTACTGTTTGATGAACAGGTGTGCTAGTTCAAGTACCTTTAATCAGTCAGTACATGAGTTTAGAGGCGCACTGCTCCATGCTAGTGCTGGAAACTCCGCTGCAAACTGAACCTAGTCAGGCTTCCTGACGGGAAAATAATCTCGTTAATATTACTAATAAAGTGTTTAAGAACCGCAAAAGAACAGCAAGGTGTCATGCACTGTGAATACTATAAAGAACAGGCCGCCGGTTGTCCCAACCCGTTACAAAACCCTAAGGCATAATTATTCATAGTTGCCGGTCACAGCATCAAAATGTTGCACAAAATTGCGACACGTGTTTAGCGGGCGCCTAGCTGCTCTGAGAATTACGAAGAATGCCATGCTGAATGCTTCCATTCCACACAAATATTACGATTTTTGACATAGCGGGTACCCTGCAAAAGTTACTGTAGCAGTTATCAAAAGTGTGTTTAAAAATGGCTCTACAAAGTCCACTTATCCAACTTCTTCTGAACGCCCTCGCATTTAAAATACCAATGTATGTTCAGCACCCTTGGGTACATAGAAATGGTCGGTTACCTGTGGTGCATACCCCTATTCGCCCTCAGATAGAGCGGAGTCACCTCCTGGTGGCCACTGGCTGAACGCGCCCAGAGTGAATTGCTGCTTCAGTCGTCTGCTAGGCACATAATCAAGAATAGTATGTGCACGTACGTCATACTCATCTTCAAAAGGCATTTGACTTGCTCTGTTAGCTCACGTCTAGCCGCCTGTATGCTTGCCAAGCACAATATACATATTTCGCCTTTCTCGACTTTATATTCAGTGCAATAAGATCAGTGTGGAAACGTGCCGACAATGCTGCGTATCATTGTTATCCCCTCAGTTTTCCAGGACCGTTTTGGATTTCTTGGCGTTGTGTAGTCGAACCACATTGGTAAGTGCACTTGGCGTCGTCCCAAACATGAGAAGTATGTGCAGCGTTTCAGTAACTCAGTGCAGAACAAAGTTCTCAACAAAGTTCAGAACAAAGTTCCGAACAAGGTTTCAGAACAAAGTTTCAGAACGAAGTTCTGCATTGATTGATTGATTGATATGTGGGGTTTAACGTCCCAAAACCACTATATGATTATGAGAGACGCCGTAGTGGAGGGCTCCGGAAATTTAGACCACCTGGGGTTCTTTAACGTGCACCCAAATCTGAGCACACGGGCCTACAACATTTCCGCCTCCATCGGAAATGCAGCCGCCGCAGCCGGGATTCGAACCCGCGCCCTGCGGGTCAGCAGCCGAGTACCTTAGCCACTAGACCACCGCGGCGGGGCAACGAAGTTCTGCATTGTTGTTGCGTGTCCAACTGCAGCAATATTCCTTATCAGTTATGCGACGAGCTTTAATTGCGCTTGATTAAACCTTTTAACGTACGGTCTTGGTCCCGTACACCGATATATTTGTGTCTAGTAAATTCTAACACTTTAGTTCCTAAATTATTTTGAAAGAACAAAAAATGAATGAGATGGAGGTGAACAAACTTCAGTCACCATGAGCAATCCTAACATAAGGTGAATTTTAAACGGACACACCCGTTGGTTTAATTTGAATTTACTCTAAAAAAATCACATGGTTAAAATAATATAGATGGTGTACCTCACACATCTCTCGTATAATTTCACCCGCAACGCTATCATTTTTCTTTAAAAAATTTGAGTGCTTTTGTGGCGTCGTCACAGAGTGACAGGAAGAGTTGACATTACTCGCTTGAAAAAGATCACAGCACATCCACAGAGTGAATGATGATGAGTTGGGCGAAACGTTCATTAGTCTGTCCGTGCTTCCGTCCGTCCGTTCGTTCTTGCTTCGGTCCGTCCGCCTGAACAACTGTGTGTCAATCCGCGTCCATTCGTCTGTACAGGCGCCAGTCCGTGAGTCCGTCCGTCCGTCTGTTCGTGCGTCCATCCTTTCGTACGTCCACGCTTCCATCCATCTGTCTGCTAGTCTATCTATCTGTCCATCCATGCGTCCGCCCGTGCGTCCGTCAAGTGAACGCTCCAAGTACCGTCATCTCCCATCTCGCAACCCCTGTGGCACATACCCGCTCTAGAGCGGGTATGTGCCACCGGTGGCTACGTACATACATACATACATACATACATACATACATACATACATACATACATACATACATACATACATACATACATACATACATACATACATACATACATACATACGGAGGAGCGACAGACCCACGCCTTAAGGAGCTTCGCCCCTAAAAAAACTCCTTCCCTACCATTGAAAGTACACACCATCCTCTTGAAAGGAACCCTGGTCGGATGTGAAGCAGCAACGTTGCACACGAGTGGCGTCACGGGTTGAACGGCACTAACGCGAGTGCTGCTCAGGTGAGCGCTGGGAGATTCGTTCAAAAGGGTGGCTGGCGTAGGTCTTGTGGTTTCTTCGGAGTAGACAAGGGCGCTGGACTGGAGCTGGCACACGTTTCGCCTTGACTACCACGACCTTGTGATCGATTAAGTGCACGCTGAGAGGTTCCTGCAGACATTAGAAGACGAAGTTGGCAAAACCCAGATCGATGCACGTTCCCCTTTTCGTGGTGGGTAGTGGGAGCTTCCATGGCTTGTGCCTCGTCGGTGTTGCAGGAGTGACGTCGCCATTCGAGAACATGATTTGGCTTTGTTAACCCTCGCGACGCCAGCGACGACCGGGTTTGGCCCAATCACTTCGGCAGATGTCTCGGCAGGCGAAAAAGTGTCGTAGTTTGGCGTCCTGTATTGCAGATAAACGATTCCAAAGAGTGTTACTACTCTATATGCGCTCGAGCGTTGCGAGCGGTGAAGAAGGTGAAGCGAGAGAGAGGCGGCACGTACAGACATGTTAAAATGCGTACGTTAGGCGCGCGTCAGTTCTATTGCGCGTGAAGCGTCAAGTCGGCGGTGTAGCGAGTGGTGGTTGCATTGGCGGAGCGAGTGGCGGTAGCTGCAAGTGTTGCGAGTGAACGTGCGAGGCGGTGAGCGTGTGGGAGGAGAGGGAGAAAGTGACGTCAGCTCACACTGCAAGGTGAGTGTTACGTCAACAACTAGCTGTGGCGTGACCTACTCGGCACCGCTCCAACAGCTGCGGTGAGAGGAGTGCAATGCGGCGCGTTCGTACGGACGCACAGAGGGACCGCGTTACACAGGCTAGTGAAAGAACTGCTTCGCGTCTAATAAACGAGCGTTTTCTGTACCAATGTCATGCAGATAATCAATCGAAGTAAGCCATGTGCTGAACTTTAACTTTTTATACTGGTACTAGAGTAAGAACAAGCTTGCCAAAGCATTGTTAGCCACGTAAGTTTTATAGAGAAACTTATCAGCTGCCCTTCGTTCTTCCGATAAAATACCAAATAAGAAAAAATGCAGATGGAATTGCGTGGTTATTTTAGCTCTTCGGCCAAACATATCAAAGTTGTTGTTTTTTCTTTCTCTTTCTTTTTAGTATCGTACAACAGCAGCCATGAAAAATGAATTCAGTCACGCTGCAGCAGTGCATAGAAGAACATAAACCAGCACAACACCTCAAATAAAAATACAAGAAACGTGACATAGTACCAAAGTGCATGCGGTCGTTATGCGCGAACATCCAATAAGGTTTGTTGAACTTCGTACATTCATTCATCAATGATAAATGACATATATATTACTGATCGGCATCACTCAACACATTTAATTCGCTGACAGTCGGCTCAGACCGCTCAGAAAGAAGTGCCACGTCGTACATTTGAATGTGTGCCACTGGTTGCCTATCCACACTAGCGCGGGGATATCCCGGCTGCGCTGGCTGCATTTCCGATGGAGGCGGAAATGTTGTAGGCCCGTGTGCTCAGATTTGGGTGCACGTTAAAGAACCCCAGGTGGTCGAAATTTCCGGAGCCCTCCACTACGGCGTCTTTCATAATCATATGGTGGTCTTGGGACATTAAACCCCACATATCAATCAATCTAGCGCGGGGATGCTGGTGCTGCCACCTATAGCCCGATCTCGGGGCAAATACAGAGGTCCGTGTTTTAAGGGTATTTGCCTCAAATGTCTGGAGGAAATGGTTTGACGGCACACGTGACAGAATTGTTACGTCATTGATGTCCTGACCAGACAGTCATAGTCGCAAAATCCTTTACCCTCCTCTGCCAATTTTGGTGCACGCTAAGATGAGGAGGGTACCCAGACATAGGCGCTGTTTTGGTCCCACTCGGGCCGTTGATCACGGCCGTATTTGCTGGCATAACACACATTAAGGGTGTGCCTATTGTGTATTTCGTATAAAAGCGAATCGAATAGCATAAGAATAGAGTTCGAATAATAACTCAACCCTTTTCAACGAAGCCCTACAATGGCAATGTAAACATTATCGTAACAACCCAAGAATCGCGCAATGACTTGTAAGGAATATTCGCATTTAAATGACAAAAGGTACTGAAGTATTTCAAATTAAGGTAAACTCGTATACAACAGCAACTAGAGCCTCAGAAATATTTGGAGCTGTAGCTCGAAATACAAGTGTAACTTTGTCAACACCTTTTAAACAAAGCTCATATACAAAAATATATTGAACAAGACTTATCAATGAACATACCCATACATGTCATGATGAAGACAGCGGATTGATGACTGCCCTTAGGTGGCACTTGAAGTTTAAGCAAAATTCCTTCGTACTGAAATACATGTACCGTTGATAGTCCAGCGATGTTGATGATCAAAACTTTATTACTCCCAAAAGAGGGGACCGGTCGAGAGGTCTGTTACGCTGCTTAGAGGAGGTCAGCGGGGACACCGCGGCCTGCAATGCGCGTGAGATTACCCGGAGTTGCTGTGCCGAGTCTGTGATATGCAGAAGGGGCTCCCATGTATCTTCTGTGTGAGAAGCGTCAGCGTACTGTGAGCAAATCCATGCCATGTTTATGAGGGTGGCTGATTGTGAGCAGCATTTACAGTGTGGTGTCACGAGGTGTGGGTACACTTTGCTATAAAGCCAGGGGTTGGGAAAGACACCTGTCTGAAGCTTGCGTGACAGGACGGCATCACATCAAGGGAGGCCTTATAAGCTGGAGGACAGGGGAGACGGCCTAGTCTGTAGTGCTGTAGAATGTCTGTGTAAGTGACCAAAGGAGTTAATTCTTCGCAGGCCTGGGAGGGCGAAAAATTAGAAGTGTAAGGCGTAAGGAGCTCCGCCCGGTAGTTGAGATCTCGGGCAAGAGTGTGTGCCTGCGCATTTCCACTAAGGGATTCATGAGCTGAAGCCCAGATAAGAAAACGAGGTGAGACAGGCGGGGTGTGACGCTTTATGATTGAGTATGCCAGTGTAGAGATACGACCCGCGTCAAAATTTCGGATGGTGAGTTGGGAATCGCTTATGATCACCTTGGTTATTGGGTCGGTGATTGCCAACGCAATGGCAACCTTTTCGGCATTTGTTATATTGGTGGAGTGAATTACACTACACGCCGTGCTGCACCCACGATGTGGGGCCAGGGCGACAGCCACCATTGTTGATCGATGTGGGTGTCGCGAGGCATCTGTGTACTTGACATCGGAACGATTTGAAAGACGTTGCTGTAGTTGGGGCGCTCGGTCAGCCCTACGATCCGCATGATGTTCAGGGTGCATGTGCTTGGGGATTGGAGGAATACGAAGACTGAGTCGTTGATCTGTCGGTATATCTTGGTAAGTGGTGGCCGCCCACGTGGCGATGAGTCCATTTTGGTGCAATACAGCACGTGTCGCATGCGTGAGTGAGAGCTGCTGGTACTGGGACGTAAGGGTAGCTTCTATAAGCTCATTGACCATGTTCAACACCCCAAGGTCATTAGGTTTGAAGGCACAAGTGGACATCGGGAGTCCTAAGGCGGTCTTATATGCCTTGCGAAGCCAAGTATCGAGGCGATCGAGATCAGTGCGCGTAATGCAGAGGTGGGGAGCCAGGTAGGTGATGTGTGTGAAGACAAATGCCTGAACCAGTCGAAGAAGGTTGGATTCGCACATGCCTGTATGCTTGTTGGCAACGCGCTTGAGAAGGCGACCAATTTTGTTGGCAGATTGGTCAATTCCCTCAAGAGTGGTAGAGTTGCCACCATTGGCCTGTAGGTGTAATCCTAAGATGCGGATGTGATCTCTTTGGGGAATTAGCATCCCCTGCACTTGGAGATTATAAGAGACCTGTTTGGGTTTGCGTCCCTGTGATCTGACAACAATGTATTCGAATTTGGTCGCCGACAGGACAGGCCTACCGTAGAGAGATATAGCTGCCCACGCGGTTGATTGCTGTTAGTAGGGTTTCTTCGATTTGGCCATCCCTACCTCTTGTAACCCACAGGGTGAGGTCATCTGCATAGAGAGTGTGATGCAGATTTGGGATGTCAGACAGAAGTTTGGGAACTCTCAACAGTGCAACATTGAAGGGGAGTGGGGATAGCACGGAGCCTCTGAGTGTTCCACGGCTGCCGTGGGTGAAATCTTTGGTTGCATGCACCTCAGTAATTCGATGATGTATACAAGAAATGTTACCCCTCTTTTTCAACATTTCGTTCCCTTGAAGTAGATCAACAATGCTTTTTGTATGCAACTTGACGAGAATCACCACCAAAATAGAATTCAAGCATCGCGATAAGAAGTGAACAAGCCCTTTCTGATTCACTTCTAGGCGTGATGGAGGAGCAAACATCATTTCAAGAAATCATAGTTTGCTTGAAGAAGTTCTGAGTGAGTGATTTTGTATTACGATGCGAGTGTAGCAATCAGTGAAAAAATGCCCGTTTTGCCCAAAGATCAGAACAATGAATAGCTGCGGCCTTCCCCTCACGTAATCGTATTATTCTTTGGGTGTGTCTATTCTCCCAGCAACCGGGAGAATTGGTCAAAAAATTTTCTCCCAGCAGTCGCCTCCCATTGGCTCTCATAAATCACGTGACTAACTGCCCGGATAAATTTTTTGTATGATTCTCCCGGCAACCGGTAGAACTGAACCTAACGTATTCAACATAACCTAAGTAACATAACCTAACCCAACGCACGCTGGGCCACGTCTGTCCAGTCTGTCCCGCAGCCTAACCTAACCTAATCTAACGAACACTATTGGCTACGTATGTCCAGTCTGTCCCGCAGCAGCCAGTTTTTTTCACTTCTTATGGCAGTTGGTCACGTGACATATGAGAGCCAATGGGAGGTGAGCGTCTGGAGAAATATTTCTGAACAATTATCCCGGTTGCCGGGAGAATAAACACTGCGTTATTCTTTCGCCTAAAAATGCGATAGCGAGATATAGGAAAGTCATAACAAAAAATAAAGAGCAGCTCGATACTTGCAGCATGCCTCTGACGCACAAAAACCGCCAGGTTGGGAATAGCTGCCTTGCAGATCTTCCTTTTCTTAACACTTTTTGGGCAGCTGCTGCAATCACACTTGCAGGCCGGCATTTCGATGCTGATGCTGATGACCTGAAGTGTATGGCACTCACCCATATAAGGGGATGGGCCAAGAACCGGGTGGCAGGGTACCTAAATGAAACTAAAATAAAATTAAAGCTAATCTGAAAAAATTAGTTTAGAGTTAAAACTACTATGCCAACCCTCGTCATTCTTCGGAGAAGCCTGGTACCCGCTGCACCATCGCAAGGAACTTTCTGCAATTTTTGTGCTGTGGCTGATGATGATGATGAGTTATGCCAGAAGCATTTGTAATCCCCGCAATTTCCTCCAATGGGTACGTGCCACAGGTAATAGGTGAACAAGTTCAAGTTTTTGTAAAGGATTGGAGCATTGGTAACCCACTCATTGTGCACTTCGCAATATGTGACACCTGGTTGTTCCTTCGCTGTTTTGAAACACTTTATTATTCATATTAACTTGATTATTTTTCCTGACATCAAGCCTGCCCAGGCAAGTTTGCGAAGGAGTTCTGAGCCCCTGCGTGCTTGACAGTGAATTGTGATTTCTGCAAGTAACCTGAAGCGATAGAGCAGTGTTGCACTCTTTGAAAATCTGAAACAAACAATCAATTCATAATTAACACTCAGGAAAGAACATCTAAACACTGGTCATGGTATTATGTTCCTTCCTTTCAAAAAGACCTTAACCTGATAATGCTCCATGTGTTGTAGGGGCTTTATTCACTATGGAAAAGCTACGTGATTGATATACACGCCGAGTCACCACGGTCGATGAGGTCTATCTCCAAAAAGAAACTGCTCACATGCATGGTGTTGTTGAGACGTTTGACACCGTATCGGAATGGCTTCCATTTCTGGACGCTTGCGCGTGTTTGCCTGACTTCTGATGAATTATGTCGTGAATGGTTCCCAATTACTAGTGTTGATTTTATACAATAACTGAGCAAGAGAAAACCAGTGTGGCTCATTAAAACAATACTGGGCTGGCACCCAAGGGGAGCACGTTGAAATCCCAATGTTACCTTGGTGTTTTTATTTAACAAGTTTTCCTTTTTTTGCGATAGTAGTAATGGAAACCGGCAGTGGCGGCATCGGGCAGCTAGGGTGCGCACGCCATTCGTGTTGTGATCTCATAACAGCTTTCACTTTAGAAAGAGACGCCTCGAAAAGGAATCCAAAGGTATACACAGAGCAAGCTTGAGCTAGAAACTGCCACAGTTGTTCCGCCTTTGTATATTAGCAGTGCATTGCAATGACTCACTTGCTTTCTTGCTTGATTTTCGGGTCTTACCCAATAAGAGGCTCGGCCGTAATTACCAAGGAGGTTGTAATATTAAGAAAATTGTTATTTTTGAAAGGGATGAGGTTCAAATTTATCACCACAGCAAAAAACAAAAACAGTTTAGAATGACTGGTCTATAGTACAATATCATGTAAACCAATGAAGCAATAAAACAGATTCCGAAGCTAAAAAATTTGATTGTAGATAATGTTAACAGGACATTGTTAACAAGAACTTCGCATATGGATAAGGTGTTCCTGTTGCTGAATACAAGAAAAGACTCCCCTAATTGAAAGAATGTTGAGAAAATTCAGAGAAATACGTCAATTACTGAATAGTTTTTAGAGATGTTTTTTATGACGAGTTAAATGATGGCACGTGAGCAAAAAATGATCAATTATTTCAGGTTCTCACACAATACTAGAGCTGTATAAATAAAAACTTACAGATTATGTATGGCATCGAAATATTGTGATAGCCATTACAACTTATTGAGTAGGACATCAGTTGTTATTCCAGGCAAAAGAAAGATGACCCTATTCTTGGATAGATAACTTCATTATCATGGCATCTTGAAGTAAATAATACTTTTGGGAATCTAGGCTACGCAATCAAAGCTGTGTGAGGTACAATGGACATCACTGGACTACCTAGGGATCACCATGCGAGTGTTTCAGTCATGTCGTTTTCAAGTAATCCACGATGTCCTGGAACCTATACTAGACGCAGAGTACACAAATTTTGGGAGACGAACTGTAGTAAATTATTCAGTACATAAGAATTGGAAGAAGATGCATGTAGAGAAGACATCTACTAGAAATGGTGAACAAGGACAATTGCATCGCGGAATCTGATACCCTAGATATTTCTTTTTGTTTTAAAAGGTCCCCTCACCAGGCCCCATAAAAACTTCTACTTAGATACTGGCTGTTGGGGTGTGTCCAAAGAAGAGCGTTCATGCCACAAGAATTTTTTTGAAATGGTTCATTACAAGGTGAGGAAACTCCTAAATTGAAGCGGTGCGAAACCATGATGCTAGGAGGTCGCCTTCTCAACCCGAATTTCTTTCCTTCTCTCTCCGATATATCAGCAAGAGGTCACGTGTGTATGACGTGCCCGACAAAGCTCAAATCTTTAGCACGTGAGCAGAATTGTTTTGTCGACCGACGTATTTTTGTGCCCTACTGCCCGTTTCTGCGGAATGAATGCCTCGTTGCGTGCTCATTTGGAAAGGCGGTCTTCGTAGAGTAGTCTATTAACTTGATGGCTGAATGAGACGTGGTGGAATATATAAGAATAATAAGTGCTCGAACGTGCAGGGCCATTAATTTTTATTCGTTTCAAGGGTTTATGTCATCTTGATGTGCCAACTGCTGTGACGCGAAAGCATGCGAAATGCAGTCACATCAGCCCCACATTTCTTTTCAGTTCACGAGAAACAATGAAAAAAAAACGCTTATATTTTCTCTGTGTGTCCCATTATTTATCTGAAGTTTTATTGATCTATTCACACAATAAATTACACAAACTTCACATGTCGTGTGAAATAAGTTTGCCGTGTCACGTTCTATTGTTAGCGACGTCGGAGCAGAGTCGTATACGTAGAGGGTCGATGTCAAAGCTCTATACCATCTACGTAAACCAATCCCGTCGTCTACGTGATCCCATGATTCTCTAGGCCGCTCCCGCAAAAGGAAGGGCGAGCCCCGTTCATCTTTATATTTTATTCATTTCCGCGGCCCTTAGCGTTGCGAATTTCGCAGAGGTGATCGTGAACGTCACATTGTACTCATCAGCTGAAAAGCAAAAAACCTGATGAGGGGCCCTTCAAACTGCGGCACGTGGAGTGACCATCAGCCGGTCTCCCAATGGACTACGAGCCTGGCGCCTTCTGACGTCCCTTCTATAGACGTCCCTTCTATATACGACTCCGGTAAATGCGAAGACCACGGGTAGAAAAACCTGATTGTGGTCATGGTAAACATTTCGCGATTTGCCGGTATAACGTACGTGTTTGCATTTGGCAGTTAAATCCAGAACTTTGCACCTTCAACGCCTACGTTTACGAAGCTCTGTGGTGGCAAACACCTCATATTATCGCGCGCGTCACCAGTCTACTGTTGCATGGCGCCCACTGCATCCAGAGGCTTCGTTGACCTTCATATTCACTGTTACCGCGGCTCTCCGTCAAGGGTACTCAGAACGATAATAGGCGACCTGCATCATCACACTTGCTTATACCACCGGCGGTGAAGAACGCGTGTAATTCGCTTACCCAACACGTTCGCAACAGCTCGTTTGCAGCGCTCTCGCTGTTCTTTGCGACAGCTGCGTAAATTGGTAAAACTGAAGTGAAGGCGTCCAGGGCGATTCACAGTACAACACCAGCGTCGAGTGGGTTTTTTCTTCGCAGAGCGCAGAGCTGCTCGTCTGCTCTTGTTTTTGCCGTCGTTCTGACGAGTG